GACAAAAAGTGGGAAAAAAATTACAGATAATTACCGGAATGTAAATTTCAAGTGTTCTGTAATTTTACAGACTGGTAATTTTACCATAGAAAGTCTTGCCAAATAGTATACCCAGACTTTTCCTGTAAAATTTTCGATTTTTTTATAACAGTGTACAGAGCGCGGAGTGCGGTGTCGTAGTAGCAATGAAAAGCCCAGGTTTTACACTGGACAGTGTACGAATATGGCTCCGCTGTAGACAATTTTGACCGGTTTTGCCTGTACGGTGGCCCTGTACATTGCTTTCCGTACCAAATTGAAACCATTTAAACTACGGCAATACTGTTTTTTTCGTCTATATCCCTAAACTCAGGAAAAGAAAGGTTGGCAACAACAAGTCCCGTCTTGTCGTAATATCAGCTTTGCCGGTGTGGTTTACTGCTGGCGCAGCAGAGTGATGCTGTGGTGCTGGCAACACATTTTTGCGGGCGGGTAGGCTTGCCTGTTTCAAATTAATTTCGATATTTGAACCCAGCAAAGGATTAATGCTATATCTACTCACCTTAGTTGGTCTGCCCCTTACTTAAAGTGACCGTCCTGCCAGCTGTGTCGAGATTTTTATATGATTGTCTTATCACGCACGGGTCATTGAGTCGTAGTTAGCATCAAACAATTTGTTTTCCACTTCACTCTCGGAGAAGACGGTGAAACTGGGCACTGCCACGTAGAAGATCGAGAAGAAAACAAACGGGTCAAAATTTTGCATATGATTTCAAAAATAAAATGAACCTATGTGTGCTCTGCAGCTGTACAATTCTCTTGGTCGTTCGAAGTTGTTTGTGTATTTCTAGCGCTAGGTCATTGCTTGCTCAGCCATTCTAGCCCGGTCGTTCAGAAGAGGCGGGCCAAATTGGGGCTAGTGGCGGTGTTCATGAAGTCTCTAGCCTGCCTGGTGACACACTAGGCCATATAAAAGTCTTCCACGACGCTAACTGTGTGGCCGGCCTTTGACTTTTTGAAGTACACGTAATCGAGCAGGAGGGGCAACGTTCACATCTGTGTGCAGTCTCGACAAGAAGACAGCCGCGCAGTGACAGTGACTAATGGCATCGAGTTGTCCTTTGAAACTAGGGTTTTAGCGACAGACTTCTAAATATATCTTCGGAACTGTGGCAGAGGGTGCAAACTCAAAACCAACCATTTCCCAGGGAAGGCATGCATAGAACTGGCGTCGATTAGGTTCGATTGGCCGACGCAGCAATGTAATCGATTTCGGTTACTTACTCATACGTCATTCAAGATTCTCTCCAAACGGACAAGACGATGCCTCCTAACGACGAAGTCCGATGTGTTGCGCTCGCGTTACACAAAGTTCGATCTGTTCCGCTCTCGTTGCACAGAGTTCGATCTGCTTTCCGTCGCGCTCTGCATCGCGGACTTATTACGTTTATATTTCCGCTAATATTGCCGGTAGAAAAAAAGTAAAAGCTGCTGTCTGTTGCTAAAAGATTGAAGAACAACATACTCTAAAGAAAACATTCAACGCTACAACATCAAAACTGCGATAGAGCTCTAAACTTGGGTCTCCCGAGAGCGGCTAAAAGGTAGATGTACTGACGTGTACTACCGTACTGACTCGTACACTTTCATCTGGAGTTATTATCCCCTCGCTTCAACATTGTACTTGGTACACAACTTCTAAGTATCTATAGTTGCACCCTGGAGAGACGAATGTTAAGCGTCACATTTCTAGTGTGACATCCTGTTCCTTGTGTGGTGTGACCATCATCTTGTTTGGTCACTGTGCTGTGACCATACCCATTTGTTCTGCCTCACCCTATACATTTTTGGCTGATGATGCATAAATCAGTGTGACCCAAATTCACATGTCCCGTTAGAGATTTTAAGTATTTTTTGGAAAATTTGGTAATAAACAAAATAAGGGGCGGTC